TACTGTATCGAACAGCCGAGTTGGGTACTCCAAGTAGAAGAGTTTACCAGTTAGTAATTCCACAGTCACTAGTGAACGTAGCTCTACAGCTAGTTCATGATGCACCAGGTGTTGCACACCCTGGTATGGATTGTTCTGTGAAACAAGCCAGAATGAAATACTTTTGGCCACGTATGGCAACTGACATTTTCGAGTATGTTAAGAAATGTAGTGTCTGTATGCAACATAAAGGAAATGTCAATGGTCCTAATCCTATCCAAGTGTACCCAACCACTAGCGAACCGTGGGAAAGAGTTGCCCTTGATTTGTTAACCAATTTTAAATGTTCCCTCCAAGGCAACAAACATCTGTGTGTTATGGTAGACCATTTCACCAGATATTGTGAGTTAGTGCCTATTGCAGATAAGACTGCAGAGACAGTAGCTAAAGCGTTTACAGAACGCATTATCTGCAACCATACCACCCCTAAGTCCTTAGTAACAGATAATGGAGGTGAATTCTGTAATGAGATTCTTGAAAATTTATGTACTTTATACAAGATCTCTAAATCCACCATTGTTCCTCATCATCCTGCCAGCAATGGGTTAGCCGAAAGAACCAATAAGAAAGTACTTGATGTCCTGAGAGCCACTATCAACCCCAATAGTGAAACTTGGGATGAAGTCATACCAGATGTCCAATGTGCCATAAATTCTGCTTACAATGCTTCCATAGGTGATACTCCACATTATGCATTGTATGGTGTAGACAAGCGTTTACCCTATGAGTTGTTATATTCCACTCCGAAACCTAATTATAACCCTGATGATTTCGTAGCAACTCGTACCAGCATGGCTCAAAGTGTTTTTAGAAGAATCCGTGAAACACTTCACAAATCAACAGCAGAATTTACTAGAGTAACTAATAGCCGTGCTAAGCCATCAAAAGTCAAAGTAGGTTCAAGAGTAATGCTGACAAATTTCAACAAAACATCCGAAATGCCTAAGCTCGATCAAAGGTTTGTCGGACCTTATCGAGTTGTAGAACATATCTCTGGTAATAAGTATAAGGTTAGAGAAATTAGTACTGGTAAGTACAAAGAATCACATTTAGATCATATGAAATTAGTATGCGATGTTGATGATATTGCTACCCAGACTAATGTGACAGATGCTGAAAATCCTCTTGACTCTGTACTCTCTACCTCAAATACTCTGTCAGATAACCAACCTGAATGTCGTTACTCCTTGTGTACTCGACAAGTAATGAGAAACCCACAAGTATCTTTTGTAGATACTCGTTCAGATCTCCCTCCCTCAGTCAAGGCATGTGTTAGCCATTGCAGAGGAATTCGATCCTCCCAGAGATGATAACCATTCTGCATATGTAAACCTCACCCTCGCAGAATTGAGTTTAAATGTACATAGTCTGTATAACTAGATGTCCAAGATGAAGTAAATTGTCAACTGTCTGTTATTAACTGATTAGTTTTTCAGAATTTTTTTTTTCCTCATATTCACGTTCCCTCCGTATTCTGAGAATTTGACAGTAATGATCTGAGTGCGCACCAGATGCCTTTGCTGTTAATTTCACCTTGTATATATATATTTATTCTTCCTCAGAATCCGTAGAGTGCATGAATACAGATCGATCGATCAATTCCATCCATATTGTACAATGATTTGATCTTATAGTTTGTAATGCATTACGTTAAAAGTGATTACGTTAACACCCATTACGTAAAACTCATTTTGTTAACATCCATTATGATACCATCCATTAGTTCTAAGTTATATATGAATTTGTTATTGTATAGAATCAGCCCAGAACCGCCTGCCTGTTCAGCCTATAAGATAGTAGTGTATGTCGAGACGACATACGTAACATGACCGAGCTGTCAGCATAGTTGCTGATCCCTGTGTTATATAGCATAGCATATAGTATCATCCATGTGCTTTAGATAGGAGATCCCTTTTAGGCCTGTGACTGTTGTGTGATGTCACGGGATGCGCATGTGCACGTTCGTACCTCTGCCCTGGTCTCAGACGGCGTGTAGACCTAGACAGGCTAAGACAGGCAGAGGCTGGGCTCCACGTTCATCATCACAGTCTGACAATATAGTTACCATCCAACAAGTGTGTCTACCTTCAACCCTCGATATCTCCATTAAGAACCCCTACGATAACAGGAGATTGGTGCAGAAGCTAGAGGATCAGGTGTATATAACAGGAAGGGCACTGCAGTGGATCAGAGAATAACTGATAGGGAGGCAACAACGAGTCATGGTATGTGATGAGGAATCACAGTGGGCACCTGTGACAAGCGGGGTCCCACAGGGGTCGGTCCTAGGACCACTGCTATTTCTGGTATATGTGAATGACATGATGGAAGGGTTAGACTCAGAAGTGTCCCTGTTTGCAGATGATGTGAAGTTCATGAGGAGAATTAAATCAGATGAGGATCAGGTAAGACATTCAAAGAGACTTGGACAGGCTGGACACCTGGTCCAGCAACTGGATTCTCGAATTTAACCCGCCAAATGCAAAGTCATGAAGATCGGGGAAGGGCAAAGAAGACCACAGACGGAGTAATAGCTAGGTGGGCAAAGACTGCAAACCTCGCTCAAGTAGAAAGATCTTGGGGTGAGTATAACACTGAGCATGTCTCTGGAAGCACACAACCAGATAACTGTTGCAGCATATGGGCACATGGCAAACCTGAGAGTAGCATTCTGATACCTTAGTAAGGAATTGTTCAAGACACTGTACACCGTGTATGTCAGGCCCATACTGGAGTGTGCAGCACCTGTTTGAAACCCACACTTGATCAAGCATATCAAGATATTAGAGAAAGTGCAAAGGTTTGTGACAAGGTTAGTTCCAGAGCTAAGGGGAATGTCCTACTAAGAAAGGTTAAGGGAAATCGGCCTGACGACACTGGAGGACACGAGGGTTAGGGGGGACATGATAACGATGTACAAAATACTGCATGGCACAGACAAGGTGGACAGAGACAAGATGTTCCAGAGAGGGGACACAGAAACAAGGGGTCATAATTGGAAGTTGAAGACCCAGATGAGTCAAAGGGATGTTAGGAAGTATTTCTTCAGTCATAGAATAGTCAGGAAGTGGAACAGCCTAGCAAGTGAGGTAGTGGAGGCACGAACCATACACAGCTTTAAGATGAGGTATGATAAAGCTCATGGAGCAGGGAGAGAGAGGACCTAGTAGCATTTAGTGAAGAGGTGGGGCCAGGAGCTGAGTCTCGACTCCTGCAACCACAATTAGGTGAGTACACACACACACATTCATTCTACAATTCTCTAGAATATTCCAACACCCTCAACAATTCTTTACAACATGCCACCACACATTACGACCCTCCACAAAGTGCCACTCCATACTACAACCAACTACTAAATACCACCACACACAACCCACCAAAACATGTCACAACAGTTTACAACTCACAACTCTCCACAATATTCTACAATCTGCCACAACATCCCCCCCCCTCCCAATGACATACTGCTGCACTCTACAATTCTCCACAACATTCTACAACAACATACTGCTTCACTCTACAATTTTCCACAACATTCTACAACAATAGTGCTTTGCTCTACAATTCTCCACAACATAGTGCTTCACTCTACAACTTTCCACAACAACATAGTGCTTCACTCTAACAATTTTCCACAACATTCCACAACAACATACTGCTTCACTCTACAATTTTCCACAACATTCTACAACAACATACTGCTTCACTCTACAATTTTCCACAACATTCTACAACAACATACTGCTTCACTCTACAATTTTCCACAACATTCTACAACAACATACTGCTTCACTCTACAATTTTCCACAACATTCTACAACAATAAAACCTTCTACAACATGGTACAAAACCTTACAACTTGCAATTATATGTATATCTTCACTCTCAAGAACACTTCACATCATGTCAACCCCCTTAATACCTTACATCATGTCAGCACTCTCAATCATGTCAACACCTCTCAAGAACACCTCACATCATGTGAATACTATCAACACTTCACATCATATCAACACCCTCAAGAATACTTCATATTATGTCAGGCCCCTAAGCATCTCACATCATGTCAACATCCTCAAGAACATTTCTCATGTCAACACAATCTACATGTTAACACATTCAACAACACTCCACATTATGTCAACACACTAAATCATGTCAGCACATTACATCATGTCAGCACACTGCATCATGTCAAAATTCCACAATATGTCAACACACTCAACACTACACATCATTTCAACACAGCAACATGTCAACACACTCAACAACACTACATCATGTCAACACACTCAACAGCACATCAACACACACTACATGTCAATGAACTCTACAACACACTACATATCAACACACTACAACATATCAAAACATTCAGCGTCCCACAGCACATCAACACACTTTGCAACATGCTTGTAACCTCCATACAATTAAACTGTTTACCTTTTGTTATGTTCTACGAGTGTGTTGATCTTTTGTGTTTACAAGCATCAACACTGACAAATTAAATATTTTAAATATCCTCTCGTTATTCTTCTATTTGGAATATTCAGTACTACATTAATGTAATTGTAGACACTATACATGTACTATATGCAAGATAATGTACACTAAATGTGTTTTGTACAAAAATTCCTCCTAAAATTCGTAATATACAGTGGAACCTCGGTATGCGACTTCAATTCATTCCGGAAGGCTGTTCAAGAGCCGCTCCGTTTGAGTATCGAACAAATTCTTCCAAACCAATTTTCCGTTTCATTGGCTGTTATCACTAACCATCGTATGCCCCATGGTGACGAAACATGAAATAGTTTACAGTGAAGTTCTGGCAGGTCGTATTTGTTTGGTCAAGTACTGAGCTTTGTTCGAGTAGGGAGCTGGTCGTATATCGAGGTTCTACTGTATCTACTATAATGGCGTGTCTTCTGAAAGGTAACAAAAAATGATAATAATTTAAATTGCACTTAACCCAAGCGGGTCATAATTTATTCAAGTCTTTGAACACTTGGAACATGATGTGGTTTCATATCTGTATGATCCTTCATATTTCATACTAAGAGTTAAATACTGATTTTTTGGCAACCTGATTACTTACACTGAATCATTCATGTATGAGTTTTCATATGTGATACCAGACTAGATTTTAGTCTAAAGTCTTTTCCACATTCTGCACAGTGATATGGTTTCTTTCCTGTATGAAGTCTCAAATGATAAACAAGAGTCTTATTTTCAGTAAAACATTGCTGACATTCTGAACACTGATATGGCTTCTCTCCTGTATGAACCCTCATATGACTTACTTGAGCCGATTTATCCGAAAACTCCTTCAGACACAGTGAACACTGATATGGTTTCTCTCCAGTGTGAAGTCTGAAATGTAGTACCAGATGAGCTTTTTGAGTAAAACATTTTTGGCACTCGGTACACTGAAATGGTTTCTCTTTTGTATGTAGTCTCATATGCAGCTCAAGGTGAGCTTTTTGTGTAAAGTTTTTTAAACATTCAGTACAATGAAAGGGCTTCTCTCCAGTATGAACTCTCATATGATGGTCCAGGTGATGTTTGCGAGGAAAAGCTTTCAGACACACTTTACACTGATGAGGTTTCTCCCCTAAGTGAAGCTTCACATGTCTGACTAAATTTGATTTAGTTTTCAGCTTTCTTGGGCAATAAGAACACTTATATTGATTTTGCTGCTCCTCAGTGTGAAATTTCTCATATGAAAATAAACGAGATTTATGTTTAAAGTCTCTCAGACTCTCTGAAGACGGCTTCTGTTTTGTATGGCGTTTCATGTGATTGATTAGGTTTTCTTCTTGCGGAAATGTTTTTAAACATAACGAACACTGATATGGTTTCTCCTCTGTATGAGTTCTCTCATGAATTCCTAGATGACCCTTTTGTGCAAAGCCCTTATGACATACCAAGCATCTATATGGTTTTTCTCCCGTGTGAACTCTCAAATGTCTTGTTAAATGGGATTTATTTGTAAAGTGTTTAAAGCACACTGAACACTGGTGTGACTTCTTCAGTGAATGAGCACTCATCTTGCTGTATTGTTTTTTTCAAAATTCTGATACACTAAACACTAGTCTATTAATAGAATTCTTTTTCTCTGGTATGAGGTATCAAAGATTTAATTAAATATTTCTTTTAAGTCGAGTGTTCTGGCTACTTACTCCTGATATGGGTTTCTCTACTATATAGCTTCTCTAATAAATTACAGAAGTAGATATATTTGAAGATTTTTTTTAGATACACTGAACAATGGTGGGGTTCCACTTGCATACTGCAAAACAAGGGAAAACAATAGTGTTTTTAATGAACATGACATAGGGTATAATTATGGAACAGTGTAACTGTCTGTTAGGAATCTAAATAAGTCATGAAGGTTAGAACCAAATATTTTGACAATAGTAAACATCAAGAAAGTCCTCAACTCATACAAGTTATTCAGCATTATATTAGCCTTTAAAAAAATTTCTTTGTCAATATACATACCTTAACTAATCTTATGACCATTTCATAAGAACTTATGGCCATTTTCCTAGTTCGGTCATTTAGCTATGAGAAAGACAAAATTATTAATACTCTCAAAAATTTTAACATAAAAATACAATTATTTTTATGTTAGGGGATGTGTAAAACCAAGTGTTTACAATGAAGCATATTAGTAAACAAAATGTAGATAAGGGTGCAAAACTTTCGTTGCATTTATGGATTAAAAACATATGACTGAGTAGATTGGAGAGCATTGTGGCAGATGTTACAAATGCATGGAATAGATTGTAAGTTACTCTTTTTTTTTAACATACCAGCAGTCTCCCACTGAGGTGGGGTGGCCCAAGAAAAAAGAAACTCTCTCATCATCACTTACAACACTGCTGTCTTGCCAGAAGTGCATCTATACTACAGTTTAGATGCCCCTCCAAGCTGTAATATCTTCACCAATGACTCAAGAAATCGTAATGACACAATTGCAAACAAACCATACCCCCGCGGATTCAATCCCAGCCGGGGGTATGGTTTATCTTCACCAATCCTTCAGAGAAACACTGTAATTCCCACCGCCAGGACTCAAGTCTGGCTAAGTTTCACTGAATTCCTTCATAAACATTACAAAATGAGAGGGTACAATGTGAACAGGAACAACAATGAACACACTGTACAGCCAGCTGTTGTTGTAGACAATTAAAAAAATGGGCAACTAGTCAACACATGTGACATGCAAATAAGGTTCACTGACTGTGGGTGTAGGAGTCGCCAGTGGCATATGAAATTATTTTTCCACCTTGTAGGCATAGCAGTGCTCAATGCCTACAATATGTAACACATAAAAACCAGGAAATGACTTCAGTATGCTGAATTTACCCTCAGTGTCATAAACCAGATTGTATGTATCATGTCACACCTGTGCTTGCCTCTCAACAATGACCTGTCCTTCACCAACATCCAGAGGGGAAAGCACCAAACTGATTACCTACTAGCTGTCACTTCATCACACAACTCTTGTCTGCCCAGAAAAAGAAGTGTACGGAAGGGCCTTGCATATACAGCTTCCACTTTTTGGTGTTCCACATTTTCATTGGCTTTCAACTGAGCCATTGTTCATTATGTTCGGTGCTTTTACTGCTTTTCTGCAGCTATCACTGTTTTTGTAAAAGAGTTGTGTAAGGGAAGGACAAACAGGGCCATATTTGAAGGTAAGTATTGTATGTACTCTGCATTTATATTAATATTTTATGTCTAGCTGTAGAGAGGACTTAATATATGATAGTGTAAACATGTTATCAGGGTTTTAGATGGATTCAGTAATGAAAAAGGTGCTCTTTTCCATCCTCCAGCGATCTTTACCTATCGGCCGAGGTCGCGAACCTTCAGAGCCATTTGAACAGGGTCCACCTGTATCTTGGAAAAGGTGTGTTGTGTGTGCCCACAGCACAAGACGAAAGAATACATGATACATGTGTCAGCAATGTGGGGTGCCACTCTGACACCATGCTTAAGGAGTTTCATAAGGATACATAATACAGTAGACCCTTGGTTTTCGTGTTTAATCCATTCCAGAGCCATCGGTCAAAACTGAAATATGGGGTGCCACTCTGACACTGTGCTTAAGGAGTTTCATAAGGATACATAATACAGTAGACCCTCAGTTTTTGTGTTTAATCCATTCCAGAGCCATCGGCCAAAACTGAAATCGGCCAAAACTGAAACCATTTTCCTCGTAAGAAATAATGTAAATTGAATTAATCCATTCCAGACACCCAAAAGTATCAACAAAAGTTTTGTTTTTTATCTTAAAGATAGATTTACATGCACAAAAGAATGAACATTACACATGACACTTACCTTCATTGAAGGCTGTTGTTGCTGGAAGGAAGACAGAGAGGAAGCGAGAGGGAAGAGAGGTTATTTATTTATTTATTTATTTATTTTATGTCTTTGCAAACAGTACATTGAGATTTTGTATTTACAATAGTGGGTGTCAATGCAAAGAGAGCCTCTATTATGCCTAGGCATTATGGGCCAACTTAACATTATTGGCTTACAGACGACTTAACACTAAGGGTTATATCATAGTTGTACAGTAGGATAGTAATTATTTCATAGTTGTACAGTAGGATAGTAATTATTTCATAGTTGTACAGTAGATTATTAATTATAAGTGAATCAAAATTTGTATAAGACAAAAGATATATTCATATATTCAAAAATGCTTCTTGTGAAAACAATGATTCAATTATATTCCTGTCAACAATGGATAAAAGGTTCAAAGTGATTGTTGAAGTTATGATGTAGGAGTACATAAGTGAGTAAGTGTGTACTGAGTATTTAGTGTTTAGTCTAGGGTGATTAAGTGGCTTTTGAGAAGAATCTTAAATTGATTTTCAGACTGGGTTACTTTAATATCTTCTGGTAATGAATTCCATATTTTTGGGCCCTTTATGTGCATAGAGCTTTTACACAGTGTGATATGGACACGAGGTATATTAAAGAGACCTGTGTCTTGTGTTGTGGTCATGTGTCCTGTTTAGGTTGTGAGGAGAAGTTTGAGTGGAGGGTTTATATTTGCGTGTACTGTTCTGTGTATGTAGTAGGCACATGAATAAGTATGGATGTTCTTAATGGTGAGCAGATTCAGACTTTTGAAAATTGGTGGAGTATACTGGCAGGAGTGGGAATTTGTTGTCATTCTTACTGCTGCCTTTTGCTGGGCTATGAGGGGGTTTTAGGTGATTGGATGTTGTTGATCCCCATGCACAAATTCCATATGTAAGATAAGGGTATATGAGTGAATGGTACAGTGCCAGGAGAGCTGATTGTGGAACGTAGTACCTTATCTTTGATAGTATGCCTACAGTCTTGGAGATTTTCTTGGTGATTTGTTGCATGTGTGTCTGGAACTTAAGGCTACTGTCAAGGTGGATACCTAGGAATTTTCCCTCTGTGAGTCTTGTGACTGATGATCCTTTTAGCGTTATGTTAATTGGATCATTTGCAGCGTTGTTTCCAAATTGAATGAAATAGGTTTTATCAGTGTTCAGGGTAAGTTTGTTAGTCATAATCCAGGCAGATATTTTCTGCAATTCGCCATTGACTGTGTTTGCTAGTATGACTGTGTTTGGGTGGGAAAAGACATATGTAGTGTCATCTGCAAATAATATTGGTTTGAGTAGCTGTGATGCATTCGGTAGATCATTGATGTAGATGAGAAAGAGGATTGGTCCTACATAAGGACTCTAGGTACCAAGTCCTTATCCGGGGTCACTTCCCTCCTTTGTTTTTTTATTGCCACTAGGACCAGCTTGAGAGTCACTGGACCCTTGTTGCACAAAATATCTGTCCAGATAGGTCTGTTTCTGGCCTCTCTTTAAAATTTCCTTAAAATGGGACATGGCATTGTCATTGTAAAAGTCACAAGCATGGATTGTAATAGCTTTCTCAGGGTGATGTTGCTCCACAAATGAATACACTCCAGTCTACATTGCACAAATCTCCTTAATCTCTGAAGAAGGCACCTGCTTCCATCTCTCTTCCTCCTCCTCTGCATCAATTTCCTGAGCTGTGGTCTGTTGCTGTTGCAGATGAAGCTCTTTCAGCTCATCAGTGGTTAGCTCTTGATTGTGGTCATCCACCAACTCTTCCACATCCTTGCCACTCACATTCAACCCCATGGAATTCCTCAATGCCACAGTTGACTGCACAACAGGTGTAGAGTCAACAGGGTCAGCCTCAGACCCTTCAAAATCCTTCTTTTGAACACAATCTGGCCACAGTTTTCCCCAAGCAGAGTTCATTGTCCTTAAAGTCACTCCCTGCCATGCCTTATCTATAAGGCTTATGCAATGGAAGATATTGAAGTGATTCTTCCAGAACTCTCTTAGGGTCAATTCAGAGCCCGTGGTTATGTCAAAACACCTCTGAAACATTGCTTTGGTGTACAGTTTTTAAAGTTTGTGATGATCTGGTGGTTCATGAGCTGGATGAGAGAAGTGGTGTTAGGAGGCAAGAAATTCACTGTTACAAAACTGAATTCCTTAGACAATTGGTCTTCCAAGTCGGGAGGATGAACAGGAGCATTGTCCATTAACAGGAGGCACTGGAGTGGCAATTTATTATCCAGGAGGTATTTTTTCACACTGGGGCCAAACACTTCATTGAACCATTCCAGGAAAATTCCCCTTGTGACCCATTCCCTACTGTTTGCCTTCCACATCACATACAATTTACTCTTGGCAACACTGTTTTCTTGAACACTCTGGGATTTTCAGAGTGCTACACCAGTCAAGGCTTCACTTTGAAATCCCCACTAGCATTACCACACAACAAGAGAGTTAGCCTGTCTTTCACTGGCTTGTGTCCTGGGAGTGCCTTTTCCTCCTGTGTGATGTAGGTCCTCTTTGGCATTTTGTTCAAAAAGAGGCCTGTTTCATCACAATTGAACACTTGTTGGGGTTGATATTTTTCAGCCTTTACATAACATTTGAATTCTCGCACAAATTTTTCAGCTGCTTGCTTGTCTTAACTGGCATTCTCACTGTGCAATACAACACTGTGTATGCCACTTTGCTTCTTGAATTATTTTTAACCAGCCTTTGCTGGCCTTGAATTCACCTACATCAGCACTTGTTTCAGGAAGTTTCTTTATGAGATCATCGTGCAACTGCCTTGCCTTTTCACAAATTATGGACTGCACAACAGTATCTCCCGCTAATTCTTTCTCTCTGATCCACAACAACAACAATTTCTCCACTTATTCAATTATTTGGGATCTCTGGTTTTCGCATTCACCCCTTTTGCAACATCAGCTTCCATGATTTCTTTTCTCTTTGCCACAATGGAGCTGATAGTTGATGGTGACCCGTACATCCCGCCGACTACAGCAATGCATATGACACTATCATATTTTCTTAGGATTTCTTTTTTCAGTTCTACGGTGTTCCTTACTTTCTTTACCAAAGCACTGGCACTAGGAGCTTCCTTTGGGGCCATGGTTGCTTATTTAGCAGTCATACAAAATAAACAAGTGGCAGAAACATGGATTATTACAAAATGTTTCATATGACCTGGCAAGATATAGTCACTCACCAAGAAACAACGCTACACTGGCTGAGAATGCATGTGGGAGGCGGCTTTGTCTGTGCGCTGGGCACTGGACAAGTTTCGTACGATTGACGAAAACGGAGGTAATCGACGAAAAAAGTCGGCCAAAACCGACATCGGTGATAACGGAGATCGACGAAAATGGAGGGTCCACTGTACATGTGTCAACAATGTGAAGTGACACTGTCTGACACCATGCTTTAAAGAGTTTCATACACTTGAGGACTTCTAAAAACATTGCTTGGACTTGTAAAAAAATTGTATGTATTTGTAGACATTATGTGACTGATGCTGGCAGACATGTTCACCTGTCAGTGCGTTAATATGTGTTTGTGACCAATTACTATTTCCATACCTAATAGAGTGGAACCTCAGTTGTCAAACTTAATTCGTTCCAGATGTTGGTCCAACAACCAAACCAATTTTTCCCACAAAGAGTAATGTAATGTGTAACCCATCAGTTACACAACCCAGGGCAGCATGGGTTAAGAGCAGGTCGCTCCTGTCTATCCCAACTACTGGACCACTACGACAAGGTCCTGGATGCTCTAGAAGACAAACAGAATGCAGATGTAATATACACAGATTTTGCAAAAGCCTTCAACAAGTGTGACCATAGTGTAATAGTGCACAAAATGCATGATAAAGGAATAACAGGAAAAGTTGGTAGATGGATCTATAATTTCCTAACAAATAGAACACAAAGAGTAATAGTCAACAGAGTAAAGTCTGAGGCGGCTACGGTGAAAAGCTCTGTTCCACAAGGCACAGTACTCGCACCCATCTTTTTCCTCATCCTCATATCAGACATAGACAGGGATATAAGCCACAGTGCCGTGTCTTCCTTTGCAGATGGCATCCAAATCTGCATGACAGTGTCCTCCATTGAAGACACTGCAAGGCTCCAGGCAGACATCAGCCAAATCTTTAAATGGGCTGCAGAAAACAATATGAAGTTCAATGAAGAGAAATTTCAACTACTCCGATGGGGTAAACGAGAGGAAATTATAATATCATCAGAGTATAAAACAAATTACAACCACACAATAGCGGTGTTCCTCAGGGGTCAGTGTTGGGCCCATTGTTGTTCACAATTTACATAACGACATAGATGAGGGAATAAATAGCGACATAAGCAAATTTGCTGATGACAACAAAATAGGCCATCCAATTCATTCTAATAAGGACACTAGAGCACTCCAGGATGATTTGAATAGACTGATGCAATGGTCGGAGAAGTGGCAGATGCAGTTTAATATAGACAAATGCAAAGTTCTAAATGTTGGGCAGGAAAATAACCATGTGACTTATAAACTAAATAATGTTGATCTTAATACTACTGATTGCGAAAAGGATTTAGGAGTTCTGGTTAGCAGTAATCTAAAACCAAGACAACAGTGCATTAGTGCTCACAATAAAGCTAACAGAATTCTTGGATTCATATATAGAAGTATAAATAATAGAAGTCCTCAGGTTGTTCTTCAACTCTATACAGTGGACCCCCAGTTAACGATATTTTTTCATTCTAGAAGTATGTTCAGGTGCCAGTACTGACCGAATTTGTTCCCATAAGGAATATTGTGAAGTAGATTAGTCCATTTCAGACCCCCAAACATACACGTACAAACGCACTTACATAAATACACTTACATAATTGGTCGCATTTGGAGGTGATCGTTAAGCGGGGGTCCACTGTATATCCTTGGTTAGGCCTCATTTAGACTATGCTGCTCAGTTCTGGTCGCCGTATTACAGAATGGGTATAAATGCTCTGGAAAACATACAGAGGAGGATGACAAAGATGATCCCATGTATCAGAAATCTTCCCTATGAGGATAGACTGAGGGCCCTGAATCTGCACTCTCTCGAAAGGTGTAGAATTAGGGGGGATATGGTCGAGGTGTATAAATGGAAAACAGGAATCAATAAAGGGGATGTAAATAGCGTGCTGAAAATTTCCGGCCAAGACAGGACTCGTAGCAATGGTTTCAAGTTGGAAAAATTCAGATTCAGGAAGGATATAAGAAATAGAGTTGTGGATGAGTGGAACACACTCCCAAGTATAGTTACTGAGGCTAAAACATTGTGTAGTTTTAAAAATAGGTTAGATAAATACATGAGTGGGTGTGGGTGGGTGTGAGTTGGACCTGACTAGCTTGTGCTGCTGGGTCTGGTGCCGTGCTCCTTCCTTGAGTGGAGGTGATCAGACTGGGTGGGTCACTGGGCTAATCTGGAGAGGGGACATGGACCTGCTCCACATGGTCAGTAGGCCTGTTGCAGTGTTCCTTCTTTCTTATGTTCTTATGTTCTTAAAAACTAATGTCAAAGACCTGAGAGTGATCATGTCGGAAGATCTTACCTTCAAGGACCATAACATTGTATCAATCGCATCTACTAGATAAATGACAGGATGGATAATGAGAACCTTCAAAAGGGATGTCAAGCCCATGATGACATTTTAAGTTGCTTGTTCTATCTAGGCTGGAATAGACTCAGAAGTGTCCCTGTTTGCAGATGATGTAAAGTTGATGAGAATTCAATTGGACGAGGACCAGGCGGAACTACAAAGGGATCTGGATAGGGTGCAGGCCTGGTCTGGAAACTGGCTCCTGGAGTTCAACCCCCAGCAAGTGTAAAGTCATGAAGACTGGGGAAGGGCAAAGAAGACTGGAGATAGAGTACAGTCTAGGGGTCAAAGACTACGAACCTTACTCAAGGAAAAGGATCTTGGTGTGAGTATAACACCAGGTACATCTCCTGAGGTGCACATCAACCAAATAACTGCTGCAGCATATGAGCACCTAGTAAACCTAAGAATAGCATTTCAACATCTCAATAAGGAATTGTTCAGGATCCTGTACACCGTGTATGTCAGGCTTATATTGGAGTATGAGGCACCAGTTTGGAACAGACACCTAGCCAATCATATAAAGAAATTAAAGAAAGTACAAAGGTTTGCAACAAGACAAGTCCCAGAGCTAAGAGGCATGTTTTATGAGGAGAGGTTAAGGGAAACCAACCTGACAACACTGCAGGACAGGAGAGATAGGGCAGCAGAGACAAGATGTTCCAGAGATGGGGCACAGCAACAAGGGGTCACAATTGGCATGCAAGACACAATGAGGTCAATGACGTCATAAAACTGGATGCCCAGCCGAGAGAGAGCCCCGATCACTAGCAGCCTAATACTGGGCGATAACTCAAACTGTGGTCCTTGCATCTACCAGGTCTAATATTGTACAGTGGACCTTCGGTTATCGGCCATTCCTGTTATCAACCAACTTGGTCATTGGCCATTTTTTCAGCTGCCGGTGATCGGCTTTTTCGGATGCGTCCGTCAGCCAGCTGGGGCCGCTTGTGTGTCAGTTTGGCTGTGTCTCTCGGTGCGTAAGGAAGCTTCTACTAATACATCGAGACATTTCGCTTTTTTCCATTGTTTTTGCGTTTTTTTTTTTTTGCAGTGCAACTGTGAAAGAAAGTTCCTAGTAAAGTTCCTGTAGTAAAGACAGTGAGAAACACCATGGAATTTAAGCGTGAAGTGGTTGATAAATATGAGAGGGGTATGCGGGTGCTGGAACTTCCCAGGATGTACGGGAAAAACAAATCAACAATAGCATCCATCCTGGCAAAGAAAGAACAAATCAAGGATGGTAATGTTGCAAAAGGAGTAACTTTTCTAACGAAACAAAGGTCACCAATAATGGAACAGATGGAAAAATTGTTGTTATTGTGGATTAAGGAAAAATAATTAGTGGGAGACACTGTTATGGAATCTATTATTTGTGAGAAGGCAAAGCAGTTACACAAGAATCTTCTACAGAAAACTCCTGGAACAAGTGCTGCTGGTAGTGAATTAAGGGCCAGCAAAGGGTGGTTTGAGAGATTCAAGAAGCATAGTGGTATACACAGTGTTGTAAGGCATGGAGAGGCTGCAAGTTCTGACAAAATAAGCAGCTGAAAAGTATGTACAGGAGTTAAAGTGATGAAACAGGCCTGTTTTGGAAGAAAATGCCAAACAGGACCTACATCACACAGGAGGAAGAGGCACTGCCAGGACACAAGCCTATGAAAGACAGGCTTACTCTTTTGTTGTGTGGTAATACTAAGGGGGATTTTAACCTTTAAACTGTCTACACGTAGATATACGTGCATGTGTGCAGCGCTCCGACGTATATCAACATTTTATTTTTCATTCCTTCAAATTTAGCGCGATAGGCCTGAGTCGCCTAGACATGAGAGAATGGGTCTGCGCACTCAGTGTATGCACTATGAAAAAAATTGGTGATGCCGGGGTACCGCATGGTACGACCAGTTAGTTTCAGCTCCATCTTGGGTCAACATCATGGCAAACCCTCGTGATTCACTCACACCTTGTCGTATTAACACTCTACTATTCTTGGAGAGTAAAACAGAATGCAGTTTAGTGGATTTGACAGTGATATGGCCACTAATGATCAAGGAATTAGTGAAAATATTGATGACAACCCAGATGACCCTCAGCCCATCACCTCTGGGGTGGCCAGTGTGGACAGTGTGCACCAGTACCTCAGCTCCATCTTGGGTCACATGATGGACATCGTGGATTCACTCACCACCTTGTCGTTTACATCTACTATCTGAGGTAAAACAGCAGAGCATTTTATATTTGACAGTGTATGGCACTAATGATCGATATTAAGTGAAATTTTGGGATTTACAATCCCAAGACCCCAGCCCCACCTCTGGTGGCCTGTGCGTTGTGACCCAGGCCTCCTTGGATCCAGTGTCGCAGGTGCGCCACACCAGACTACACCCAGTACCCATTTTACTATGGGTAACAAGACAACAGAGTGGAAAATAACATTCCAAGTGTTATGGTCTGGATAGTAAAGGCTTAAGTGTGAAGATGAGCGTTAACACAGTGCCATAGACGATTCCTCAAGTGAAAGTGTTTATCATTTTTTCCCCAGTGAAACATACTTTTAGGCTTTTAACCTACAATCAGGCAGTGTGCCATATGTAGTCAGTGGCAAGGGTCGTGGGAGGTCACTATCCAAAACCCCAGCCACTGACAGTGATGGTGATCATGATGGAGAATATGCTGGGATGGAGGAAGAGGGAGGTGGCATGGTGCCTGGACCTTGTGGCGCGGTGGGTGGGCAGACAAAGGACCGACCGGCACCCTCTCAACCATGTGCTGCCTCCACTCCTATTTCCCCTCCTGCTCCCCCACGCCCATCACAGGTCCACCCTGCACCATCTGATCACGAATGGAACTGGACAGACAGTACACCATTCCTGCCACATCTTTTCAGTTTTGATGCCAGTGGAAGTGACATCATGCCACACTGTCCCATCACAAATGAGTCTACAGAGTTAGACTATTTTCAACTATACTTTGATGAGCCGATAATGAACCTGATTGTTACCCAGACCAACATGTACTACCAGTATACAATGGACCACACAAATGTTTCAGAATCATCATGTCTGTGCAGGTGGAAAGATACAACTGTAGCTGATATGTATTTATTCCTTGGGACTATCATGCTTATGCCACACACCACACACACATAAGAACAATATAGCACACTACTGGTCCACAGACTACTTCATCTGTACTCTAGTCTTCAGTGACCTCCTTCCCTGCAACAGATTCACTCTGTTGCTACGAATGTTGCACTTCGCAGACAGGAATATGCCAAACCGAAATGACCTCCTATACAAAATCCGGGAATTGTTTATGTATCTGAAGCGCAAATTTAGTGCCTACTTTTATCCATTCAAGAACATTGTTGTTGACGAGTCCTTGATACTGCTCAAGGGACGACTGTCATTCAAACAATATATACCAAACAAACGCAATCACTTTGGTATAAAACTCTTTATTATGTGTGACTGTGAGACTGGTACTGTTGGATGTCATTATCTACACAGGGAAAGAGACACTCGACGATACAAAGCGCATGTTGGGTATTTCTGGTGATGTTCACAAGATAATGGAGCCATACCTCGGCAAGGGTCATACATTGTTCACAGACAACTGGTATACAAACCCTATGCTCGCTGATTTCCTACATGTGAACAATATTGATATATGTGAAACAGAAAAAAGAAGTAGAAAACACATGCCAAAGTTCAATGGAGCAAGTCTAGTGGAATCATTTCATGCCAATGACATGATGGCACTGATATGGCATGACAAATGGGATGTGACATTGCTGTCAACCATCCACACAAACGAGATGGTAAAAAGAGACAGACTTAGCAGGTTCAACAATGAACCTATTGTAAAGCCAGCTGCTGTCATCGACTATATGAACAATATGCGACTAGTCGACAAGTGTGACATGATGATAAGGTTTGCTGACTGTGTGCGTAGCAGTCGCAAGTGGTATATGATGTTGTTTTTTCCACCTGTAGACATTGCAATGCTCAATGCCTTCAACATGTACGAAGTAAAGACTGGGAAGCAACAACGATATGCGGAATTCACCCTCAATGTCATCAAGAAGATAGCGAAAAAAGTGTGGTACCACACCTATACCTGCCACTCCACAGCGACCTGTCACCCCACAACAGCGACCTGTCACCCCACAACCAGAGGGGGAAGTGCCCAACTGTATAATCCCTGACTGTCACTGCCTAATACCATTACCATCTACTCCAAAGAAGGAGTATTCTCAGAAAAAGTGTTGTGTGTGCTTACACTACACAGCAACCCCGAGTGTGAAAAGACACACGATACATGTGTCAGCAATGTGGGGTGGTATTCTGTATGAATCCATGCTTCTTGAGTATCATACAGTGGTGGACTTCTAGAAACATAAATGGGATCTGTAAATACCTTGCATAGGTATGTAAACAATAGTAAGTGAACCACGTGTAAAATTCATTTATGAGTGTGAACATGTGTGTTTGTGACAGTATGATTACTAATTCAGTATCAAACATTTGTGTCTCAACAAGAATTAGCTATGAAATCAAAAGATCTGTAAGAAAACATTATTATCATAATATGAAAACAACAAAAAATAGAAAAGAATTGGAAAAAAAATGATGAATGTTTATTACTTTTGCAAGCGGCAGTGCTCCATGTTGCCGACACCTCATTATTTAGCACCAACTTTGATGGCTTATATCTCGGTAAGTACTGGCCCTAAATTTTTTTTTATCCTATAATATTTATAAAAATGCGCTCTACATTTAAAAAGAAAAAAATGATTTTTTTATTTTTCAAAATATTCGGAGCGTTACGCAGGTGAACGTATATCTATGTTTGGACAGCTGAAGGGTTAAAGTGAAGCCTTTATGGGTGTATCACTCAGAAATTCCCAGTGTTCAAGAAAAGCAATGTCTTCAAAAATAGATTGTGTGTGATGTGGAAAGCTAATCAAAAGGCATGGGTCACAAGGCAAATTTTCAGAGAGTGGGTTAACTCCTAAACTGTCCAAACGTAGATCTACGTTTCCTTGCGTAGTGCTCCGAACATAGATCTACATTTTTTTCATGTTCTTATGGAGAAAATCAAGGTAAGAGCACTACGCACGCAAACGTAGAGCTACGTTTCGACAGTTTAAGGGTTAATATGTTTGGCCCAAGTTTGAAAAAGTACCTCATGGAAAAGAAATTGCCACTCATGTGCCTCCTGCTACTGGACAATGCTCCTGCACATCCTCCAGACTTGGAAGACCAAGTGTTTAGGGACTTCAATTTCATAAAAGTGAAGTTCTTGCCTATAGGTAAGGCTTGGGGAGGGAGTGACTTTCCAGGACTTTGAACTCTGCTGGGAGAAAATTGCGGCCAGGTTGTGTCCAAGAGAGGGATTTTGAAGGGTCTGAGGCTGACCCTGACCTTGCTGACCCTGTGGACTCTATTGTGGCACTAGGGAAGTCCCTGGGGTTGGAGGTGAGTGGTGAGGATGTGGAAGAGTTGGTGGAGGACCACAGGGAAATGCTAACCACTGAAGAGCTGCAAGAGCTTCAATTCGAACAGCAACAGACTGCAGCTGAGGAACTTGTTTCAGAGGAGGAAGAGGGAGTGAAGGAGGTGCCTTCTTCAGAGATTAAAGAGGTGTGTGCAATGTGGACTAGGGTGCAAGCTTTTGTAGAGAAACATCACCATGACCAAGCTGAAACAAGCCATATCTGCAACATGTTCAGTGACAAAACCCTGTCCCACTGCAGGGTAATCTTAGAGATGCCAGAAACAGAGCACTCTTGACAGCTATTTTGTGTGGCAGGGGTCCAGTGACCTCTCAAGCTGGTCTTAGTGGCATTAAAAGACAAACAAGGGAAGTAACCCCAGAGAAGCTTTGCTACCTAAAGTCTTTACGGAGGGGGATTTCCCTTCCTCCTCCCTATCTTCCAGAAGCCAGCATTAGCCTTCAATAAAGTTATGTAATATTTAAATAATTGTTAAAAAAATTATTTTTTTGTGAATATTTTTGTCTGGAACAGATTAATTATATTTCCATTAATTCCTACGGGAAATATTAATTCGGTTTTCGGCCACTGCGGTCTGAGGCTGACCTTCTGGAACAGATTCCAGCCAATAACTGAGGATCCACTGTAACCACTTAGCCACAGAGATTATGATGAAAATTTTACAGCTAGCAATACTGTGACACTGTTGTACCTGTGGAACTAAATATGATCCAAATAGTTTCTCTCACAGCCCAAGAAATTTTATGGTACAATACATTTATTCCATATCCTTTAACCCTTTGAGGGTTTCGGACGTACTAGTACGTCTTACGCGCAGTGGTTTTTGACGTACTAGTACGCATAAATTCTAGCGCCGTCAAATCTCGCGGGAAAAGGCTGGTAGGCCTCCATATGAAAGAATGGGTCTATGTGGTCAGTGTGCACAATATAAAAAAAATCCTGCAGCACACAGTGCATATTGAGAAAAAAAAAACTTTCACCGTTTTTTTGGCATAAAACAGCGACTTTGCACTGTATTTTCGTATGGTATTTATTGTTGCATTCTAGTTTCCTTGGTCTCATTTTATAGAATGGAATGCATATCACAGAAATTGAGATGACTTTCACTGGTTTTACAATGAAAAGTACCTTGAAATTGAGCTCAAAGTAGCAGAAATGTTCGATTTTTACCAAAGTTCAAAAGTAAACAAATCATGCCAAGTGTCCAATACACGTCAACTGGTGAGTCTAACATTCTTTTGCAAGTGCGCCAATATGATTTATACCATTTTTTACACTAATGCAGTAGTCTGCATAACAGTAAATCTTCTATTTTTCGTGAGAATAAAAATTCAAAGTGGAAAGCAAAAGAATGTAAGAGGGGCCTTGAGACGTGACTAATGAACAGAAGAAATGTCATTTTAGTGCCAGGAATGTATTTCTTGTTTGTTCTGTACCCTATTCGGAAATTGGCATTTTTTGAAATTTGTGTGAAATTGGCAAAATTGCTAAATTCTGACCACTGTATTGGATAGTTGAAAATGGTAAATGGGTGATTTCTTGCACTCATTCAATAGAAAAAATGTAGTTCTAGCGAAATATTCATGTTTTTTGTCGACTAGTACAGAGGAATTGGCCGAAAATGGGGCTCAAATTGGGCAAAATCGCCGATGCGTAAACATCGCCGAGACCGCTAACTTCGCAAGAGCATAATTCCGTAAGTTTTCCATCAAATCTCATAATTTTGGTGTCATTATGATCGGGAAAAGATTCTCTATCTTTTCATAAGAAAAAATTATTTTTTTTTTTTTTAAATTTGGCCGACCCTGAGAACGAGTTTCTGAGAGGGCCTGTCGACCCTCAAAGGGTTAATGGCATATAGTATGTAAAACAGGCTAAATCGTAATGAATGACTGTCAATGAATAAACAGAAGAATGGATAGGATCTTGAACACTGTGTATGTACAAACTTATATCTTTAACCATTTTGTGACATGATTTGACAAGCAGAACTTTTGCGGAATGGGGACTGAAGAGTGAGACAGTAGGGTCACAGTTGGTGTCACCAATACTGGTTAGCCTTGTCAGGCAAACTGGTTAGCAATGCCAGGCATAGCAATCTTGCCACAGAGTTTTTTGAGGGAGAACTGAAGACTGAGAAGTACAACTGATAGAATAATCACCAAAAATGGGCCAGTAATCCTGCTGCAGTGTTCCTCCATTCTTATGTCCTTAACTCTTCATTCTCAGCAGTTCCTGATCTGCAATGGAAGTGCATGAAGGCTACCCATGAAGACACACATGACACTAAACAAATTCTAATTTTTTAAACTGCCACCCAACTTCCAAGCAATTCTGCTAAATTTGATGCCAACACATCATCTGCCATAATTATAATGCCCTAACACTCCATGTTAAAGTTCATGGAAAACAGCTCATCAGTCAGTGTTCCCTCCAACCAATAGCAAATAACTCTTGCAGAATTCCAGTGTTTAATGATATTTTAATTAATTTTATATATACGTAGAAGAAGACTTTGCCAGGAAGATAATATCAGAGACCTCTCCTGGCTGACTGAAGACTTGGAAATGCTGGAAAGATTAGTAGCATTTGTACTCCTGTATTCATTATGTTTTCATAATGAACACAGTATCCATAGGGAATGTCAGCGAACTCGCTGACATTACCAAGTCATCGATTGGTCAGTCGAGATATCAGATATTGAATTTTCCTACTAGCAAAAGTTCCCCTTTGTATATGTTTACTTAACCTATCGGTAAGTACTAATCTTCAGTAACCTACGCTAACCTATGATAATCTAACCAAAACTATACTAGGATAAACTAATTTATTTTAATGTAAAGTAAATGAAGTTGAACTAGTTAAACTAAGATAGACCTAAACTACATTGTTGGATAACTCATGATGATAAGATAATTTAAGATTTTGTTCAAAATTTTAACCCCAGAGGGTTATCCACCCAGGATAACCCACGAAAGGTAGTGTGCCATTGAGTGACTGTCTGTCATATTTCCATTGAGGTCCTCAATTTTGTCCCCCAGGATGTGACTCACACCAGTCAACTAACACCCAGGTACCTGGTACCTACTTGCTAGGTGAACAGGACAACAGGTGTAAAGAAACACAATGTAATGTTTCCACCCGCCAGGAATCGAACCTGGACCCTCCGTGTGTGTAGCGAGAGCTTTGCCAGCCAGGCCACGACAAGTCGCTGAACCTGCGCCTGGATGATAACTTTCTGCCGCTGGTGATCTGAAAAAGTCAGTGACTTTGCCGAATTACTACGAAGATGGACAAGTTAAATAAGTGATATAGGTACACATACACATAAATACAGTTGCACAAATTAACATACATAGTAACATATGCATAACTTACCTAGGACAACCAAAAATAAGTCAGACAGATTGAACATTAAAATGGTATAAAATACCGACAGGTATTTTATACCATTTTAATGTTCAATCTGTCAGACACTGCAACACAAGGGTATCTTGGTACAGACCTGTTTCTTTTTTTTACCTAAAAAAAATCAGACAAAGTAACATATTTCCACCTGGGTGCCACACCAGGCACCGAGTTAATATCTTGCATTATAAAGAACAGAATACCTCACCAGTCCATCACCAGAGCCCTAGTGGCCTGGTGGCTAAAGTTCTCGCTTCACACACGGAGGGCCCGGGTTCGATTCCCGGCAGGGTGGAAATACTTCGATGCGTTTCCTTACACCTGCTGTCCTGTTCACCTAGCAGGAAATAGGTACCTGGGTGTTAGTCGACTGGTGTGGGTGGCATCGTGGGGGACAAGATTGAGGGCCGCAATGGAAATAAGTTAGACAGTCCTCGATGACGCACTGACTTTCTTGGGTTATCCTGGGTGGCTAACCCTCCAAGGTTAAAAATCCGAAGAAAATCTTATCTCTATCTTATTTCCAGGCTTCTTGTCTTACTGACATCCCAATCCTCAAGTCCAGAGTGAACAAGACTACAAAACTACTGTTGGTTAAGTATACTAGAGCAGTAAACTAGTACGAGTCCACATACAAGCAAGGAAGATGCTACAATATATACCTGGCCATTATTTGCAGTAAAGACGAGTATCTCAGACGCGGATTTTTTATGGCAAAAATTATTATTATTATAATCAAAAAGAAGCGCTAAGCCACAATGGCTATACAGCTTTATGGCAAAAACTGCCCGTGATAGTTAAAATAAGATTAATTTATAATTATGCAGCTATTACTTGTTCATAGTGTTGGTAAGTGTAAATGGTACACTAACCTGGTGTTGTATAATGCGGTATGTAGTGTATTTCTTCAGAGTTTCATTGGTGCTTCACTGGTGTTGTTGTTGTTGTTGGGAGTTAAGGGAGATGACGACTCGAGGGCCGCATGAACCCTTAAGTGAATCATCCGCGGCCAGGATAAGATTTCTTGTAAGTAAGTAAGTTAGTAAGTTTATTCAGGTATACACAAATACAGTTACATAGAATTATCATACATAGCAGCATATGTGTAGAGAACCTAGGATAACCCAAAAAAGTCAGACAGAGTGACTTATTTCCATTGGGGTCCTCTTACCTTATTATAGTATAAAGGTTATAATATTTTCTTATTATTCTACAATGAAGATAACATCTTATTATCATACTAAAAAGACTATCTGCTACTCCAAGGTCATTAAGACTATCTACAATACGAGGGTCATTACAAGGAATAAGGTAAAATTTACACGTATGTTAGCTAAAAAATAGAAAATCATTCCCCTCCCTTTCTGTAGCTATATTCATCAGACACCTTTTGGCACTCTTCTTGAACTGGTTCACGCTATGACTGGCTTTGACATGTGCGGGTAGTCTGTGCGGGTAGTCAGTTCCTTCCAGTAGAAATTTCCACTCTTCATAATTCGTTTTCCCGTCTTGGCTACCCTTCCCATTTCATAGACTCTGCCCTCTCATGTGCTAAACGCAATTTCTTCTCTCCCAAACTCTCTACTCCTGGGAACTCTTCTATCCTCTGCCTTCCCTACATTTCCGGTCTTTCTAATCTCAACAATTCTCTCCGTCCCTTAGACATCAAACTTACCTTCCGCCAGACTAACACTCTTCGCACTAATCTCGTTCATATCTCTCCTCCCTCTACAGATGTTCCTGGTGTCTACTCTATTTCTTGCTCCTCCTGTCCTCTTCAATACTTCGGAGAAACTGGTCGATCTCTTTCTGACAGACTTAGGTAGCACAAAAATAGTGTTAGGCTTGCCGACACTAAAAATGCTCTTTTCTGTCACGTCAGAGATCATAGCCATCCTATTGACTGGTCTTCTGCTAAAACTGTCTTCCCTACTTCCAACTCGAACAGTCGCCGTCTAGTTGAATCCTGTCTAATACACAACTTTCCTTGTATGAACCTTAGCCCTGGCTTCGTCTCTGTAGATGCCTTCCTCTCCCACTACATTATAAAATGCTCCAAACTTCAGAACACCCGTGACTTAACCTGACTCCTCATTTTTTCTTTTTCTTTTTCTTTTTCTTTTCTTCCTCTCCCTCTTCCCCTTTCCTCTTTCCTTTTCTCCTCTGGGTTGTCTTTCTCTTCTGTCTCGTGTTTCTGTTCCTTCTTCATTTATTTCACCACTTCCCCTTTCACGCACCTCTGTGCGCTTGCTCTCCCTCAGTGGGCACCTAGCTCTCTTGCAGTGCTCCCCTTCCTATGTATTTGACTGGCTCGTCCTCCTTATTTCCCACTTCTACCACTACCACTACTACTACCTCTTCTACTACTACAACTACTGATGAAATTAAGACACATGTGCGACGTCTGGCTGTCTTTGTTGTGGACGTTTCGCCATCCAGTGGCTGGCTGGATGGTGAAACGTCTGCGATAGGGATGCCCGGGTGTTGCACGTATCTTAATTTCATCTTGTCGGTATTATATACTATTCTTGTACTACTACTACTACTACTAACTACTACTACTACCTCCACCTCTTCCTGCCTATATATAGCCGTCCTGCTCCACTTCTGGTTAGTGTGACTTTGTCAATGGTCCAAGTCGGACCGAAACGTCGTCCTAAGCTTCTCTCTTTTATGTGCGGGTTATTTGTGTATTGTGTATTTCTTTCAGATTTTTAACCCTGGAGGGTTAGCCACCCAGGATAACCCAAGAAAGTTAGTGCGTCATCGAGGATTTTCTGACTTATTTCTATTGTGGTCCTCAATCTTGTCCCCCAGGATGCCACCCACACCAGTCAACTAGCACCCAGGTACCTATTTGCTGCTAGGTGAACAAGTCAACAGGTGTAAGGAAACACGTCGAAATGTTTCCACCCCCACGGTATGTGCGCCATGAAGGTTCTCTGTACATTTTCTAGGTCAGCAATTTCACCTGCCTTGAAAGGTGCTGTTAGTGTGCAGCAATATTCCAGCCTAGATAGAACAAACGACCTGAAGAGTGTCATCATGGGCTTGGCATCCCTAGTTTTGAAGGTTCTCATTATCCATCCTGTCATTTTTCTAGCAGCTGCGATTGATACAATGTTATGGTCCTTGAAGGTGAGAACCTCCAACATGATCACTCCCAGGTCTTTGACGTTGGTTTTTCGCTCTATTTTGTGGCCAGAATCTGTTTTGTACTCTGATTAAGTTTTAATTTCCTCGTGTTTACCATATCGGAGTAATTGAAATTTCTCATTGTTGAACTTCATATTGTTTTCTGGAGCCCATTGAAAGATTTGGTTGATGTCCGCCTGGAGCCTTGCAGTGTCTGCAATGGAAGACACTGTCAAGCAGATTCGGGTGTCATCTGCAAAGGAAGACACGGTGCTGGGGCTGACATCCTTGTCTATGTCAGATATGAGGATGAGAAACAAGATGGGAGCGAGTACTGTGCCTTGTGGAATAGAGCTTCTCACCGTAGCCGCCTTGGGCTTTGCTCTGTTGACTACTACTCTTTGTGTTCTGTTTGTGAGGAAATTATAGATCCGTCTACCAACTTTTCCTGTTATTCCTTTAGCACACATGCAAGACCAGGACCCACACGTTACTGAATTCACAAACACTATGAGTAACTGCATGTTGCTACCAGCAGTAACAAAGCCTACAAGAGTTACAGAGACTAGTGTTTCCCTACTAGACCACATCTGGACCAACACAATATCCCCTTTAAAATCAGGCATAATCACAGATAATACCACAGATCACTACACTACCTTCCTCATCACAAATCTTGACAAATTACCCCAAGACACTACTAAAGTCACTTTCAGACTTCACAATGAGGCAGCCATTAATAACTTCACAGCAGCAGTGACAAACATTGACTGGCACACTGAGCTAGAAATCTATACAGATATTGACGAATGTATTAATAGTTTTCTAAAAAAGACCCAATACCTCTACAACAAGCACTGCCACCAAAAAAACTAAACCGATGACAGCTAAGAGACTGAACAGTCCCTGGCTAACACCCAGCATCCTCAAATCCATAAATACAGAGCACCTATACGAAAAACAGTACAGAATTGGTCACATAACAAGAGACCAAACAAAACGTTACTCGTCAATCCTAACCAGCCTGATAAGAAGGGCTAAAAAATTGTATTATGAGAACAGAGTATCCAACTTACGAGGTGATATAAAAAAGACCTGGAAAACCCTACCAGAAATTCTAGGAACAAAAAAGATATCACGAAATAGCGAAATTTAATTAACAAAACCAGATGAATCCAAACTCCCACCAACTGAAACAGCAAACAGACTCAATAATTTCTTCTCCACTATAGGAAAAAACCTTGCCAATAAAATCCCAAGCTCAGATACCCCACCAAATGACTACCTCACCGGCAACTACCCGAACACACTGTTCCTAGCTCCGACTAACCCTACTGAAGTCTCCCTTATTATCAACACACTAAAAAACAAGGCAGAAGATTTAAACACCTTACCACCCTTTATATACAAAAAAGCGTCACAAGTACTATCACCAATCATTGAAACACTCTTTAACAAATCCACAGAATCCTCTACCTTCCCTACAGTTCTCAAAACAGCAAGGGTCACCCCGATCCATAAAGGAGGAGACCAAACAGACTTGAATAACTATAGGCCAATATCCAAGTTACACCCTCTCTCTAAAATCTTCGAAAAATTAATTCATAAACGAATCTATTCCTACCTCATCTTCCACAACATACTCAACCCCTGCCAATTTGGGTTCAGGCCTAATAAAAATACTAATGCTGCTGTTATACACATGCTAGAACACATATACACAGAAATAGAGAAAAAAGAAGTCCCACTGGGGATCTTCATTGATTTACGTAAAGCTTTTGATACAGTTGACCATGACTTGCTCCATATAAAATTGTCGCACTGTGGTATAAGAGGGCACTCCCTCAACTACCTAAAGTCTTACCTCAGCAACAGAAGCCAATATGTGTACACAAACGGGGCAAACTCTTCCGCACAGCCAATTACAGTTGGTGTCCCACAGGGAAGTGTCCTTGGCCCTCTTCTCTTTCTCATGTACATAAATGACCTACCAAATACATCGCAACTACTCAAACCCACACTATTTGCAGATGACACTACATACGTCTTCTCTCACCCGAGCTCAGTCACGTTAGCCAATACTGTAAATACCGAATTACAGAAAATATCTACCTGGATGAGGACTAACAAACTCACTCTAAACATTGACAAAACCTACTTCATTCAGTTTGGTAACAGAGCTACAGACGTCCCTCTTAACATAATGATAAACGGATCACCTATCACAAAATTCACAGAGGGAAAATTTTTAGGAATCCACCTTGATAATAGACTCAAATTTCAAACACATATACAACAAATTTCCAAAAAAATTTCCAAGACCGTAGGCATACTATCGAAGATACGGTACTATGTTCCACAGTCAGCCCTCCTGGCCCTATATCACTCAGTTATTTACCCCTATCTCACCTATGGAATTTGTGCATGGGGCTCAACAAACCATCTCAGACCATTAATTATCCAGCAAAATGCTCCAGTCAGAATGATAACAAATCCCCACTACAGGCAGCACACTCCACCAATATTCAAAACTCTAAACCTACTCACCGTACAAAACATCCATACTAATTACTGCACCTACTACATACATAGAACACTTAACTCTGATATTAACCCTCCCCTCAAACATCTCCTTGCCAACCTCAACAGAACACATGACCATAACACAAGGCACAGATCACTCTTTGATGTTCCTCGTGTCCATCTCACGCTATGCAAAAATTCAATGCACATAAAAGGCCCTAAAATCTGGAATTCATTACCTGTGAATATAAAAGAAACACTGTCTGTTTATAAATTCAAGTCTCTTCTCAAAAATCAATTACTCACCTGGAGTTTATCTGGAGTTTACCTGGAGAGTGTT